TAATGTCAAGAAAGGCTAGCACTGGATTGTAGTGTAAATGTTTGCGATGATATAACTGACATAGTTCTGTTAAACAGAGTACTTGATCAAGTGACCCCCTAGACTCACGGAAGCCTCCTTGGGCGATATCCAGTGTAGGGCTGGTGTTAAGTAGCTCAGGTTGTATACATTTTTCCAGAATTTTACGAAAGACTGAGGTCAAACTGATTGGTCGGTAATTACTCGGATCAGGTGGATCACCTTTTTTATGGAGTGGAACTATCTGACTAATGCGCCATAATTGAGGAGTATAAGACCATTGCCAACATAACTGGAATAGATAAAGGAGGATTGGTGATATGATATCTAAAAGTGGTAGAATCATGTCGCTTGTGATGTGGTCGACGTCAGGTGCCTTTTTTCGTGGGAGGTCTAAGATTACTGATTTAATTTCATCCAAGCTAAACCAACAATCGGTTAGATCGAAACATGCTTGAGATGATTGATACGTAGATAAGCAGCGAGGGATCGGGATACGCTCATTTCGCGAGTGGTTAGTGCCTGATAATGTCTGCTTTAGATGGTCTGCCATTAGGTTAGCAGCTTTTTGAGGTCCGTCTATAGTAGAGAATACCGGTTTAAGTAAGCGATTTTTCCGTATCCGTGAAAACTTAGCTATAGCCTTTGTGTATTCGCCTTTCTTCATTTTGTCACAAAACAGTTGCCAAGTTTCTTTTCTCCGCTGGGTGATCAACCTTCGTAGTTTCGCTTTGGTTTCTTGATGAAGCAACCAGTATTTAAGACAGTTGAGACCGTTTGCCTTTCTCCATTTCCGATAGTAAAGCTCTTTCATTTCGAATGTTTCCATCATTTCTGTAGTCCAAAACTCTTTTAAGCGTAGAGTATCCGAGTTTGTCTCTTGTTTACCACAGACAGTGTCAAGTGATTTATAGAGAGTGTCAACTAATGAAGTGTTGATACGTTCAATATACCTTTGAGCATCAACTTTCTGAAGTGGAAGAGAGGACAAAGGTGGCAGGATAAGGTTCAAGTGTTCCTTGAAAACTTGCTGGTACGTTTCCCTCGTCTTCTCTTTTCTAAGCTTTTTGATGTTCCAAAGTTTTCGACAGTCTGCTACTGGATCTATGTTACTAGGGATAAATGATGGTATTTGAAAAGAAAAAGTCAAAAGCTTATGAGTTGATTCTAATGTAGATCATCTCTAACAGTTAACGTCGGAGAAGTCAAATCTATAGTACTCAGAAAGTAGTCTACAATACTGTGCCCAGAGTAACTATATGAAGTAGGCACGCCATATGCAATCCATTGATTCCAGTTAATGAGTTCGTTAGATTGAATCCAGTTGTGAATGAGTCGTCCTTTATGATTCTCTCTTGTATCGCCTGAGTACTTGCCCATTCTAGCATTAAAGTCTCCACAGATAATAGTTACTGTTGTGTTATTATAGTTAAGAGGTAATAGTTTCAAAATTTCAGATAGATCATTATCATTCAGATTGGGAGGAATATGAAGACAGTGTATCAAAATTTTAGCAGATATGACTACGGATAAAGTATACTTAGCTAATGTTGGATTTTCATGTTGGATATGGTAAATATGCTGTTTAAAAGTAGGATTTATCAAAAGGGCGATACCAAGATGGCCGCGGTTTCTTTGGTAAGTTGAATTAATCGGCTGACCGTAAGTATGAAACTGTTTCCATGTGGTGAGGCATTTGTTTGGTGGTAGAAGTCAAGTTTCTGTAATAAAAAGGAGTGACGAGTTTTCAGCAATCTTTAGTAGAGGGAATATAGCTTGCTTTGGGAGTCCAGTAGCATTAAATAAAGTTATTGACATGCTGGTCATTAATGTTGTATGCTACTAAGGTTGGCTACATTGGTCGTCGTGTCTTCAGAGAAGTTACCCATGATATCCTCGTCCATATCAAAGACATCCTCTGATCGTCCATAGCGAGAGTTGTTAAGTTGGTCAATGAATGATTTGGTTAACCATTTTTGCTGATAAAAGTAGTATGCTACTGCAAACTTTACTAGTTCGCGGATATGGAGAACAGCACGTTGAAGGCGTTGTTGTTGGATTTCACATGCTTTGGAAGTTCGTTCTTGTTCTGTAAGATCCTTATACTGTGGATCCTTAAGAGTAGAACCATTCCGGGGGTCAAAGTTGTTAGCGAAGTGAACCTGTTTAGTTTCAAGTAATTGTTTGAATTCGGCAACATAGTCATTATGGATGAGAAGAACAGCAATATTGCGGTCTGGATAATGGATATCCAGTACACGCGCATTGTTGACGCCCATATTACGTAGGTAGGAGCGAAGTTTACCCACGGGAACACGGGCTTTAGTAGAGACGTAGAGGTATTGGAATCCTTGATTGGTGGAAGGTGGTTGAAAGAAACGAGCAGCCGTTTCTTCCTTACGAA